GGCTGTCGCAGGCGGTCGTGTCTCGCTGTCGGGAGGAGAATTCTGGGAGAAAGATGTGTTTGCCAGGGCTTCTACCAGGAGAAAGAGGAGAGAAGCAAGCCCCTTGCTTATTAGAATAATAGCTGCAGTTTTTCTAGTTAAGATCATATTAATGCAAGAATCTAACTCTTTTTTGTTTTCCTGGAAAGATCCCAGAGAAAGAGGTTCCGTATCTTTCATGTGCTGGGCTGATGGCTGCTGACTCCTTGTGTAAACAAACACGCCCTGTTTGGAACTCGCTACTCATCTCCTCTGTGTCTTTCGGGGTGACTGTCTTGTGCGCGGAGCCCCTCTCTCCCCCTGTTCCCCTGCCAGTGACCCCTGCAGCAGCAGGTCGGGGATGGAGGGCGTTAGTCACGGCCGAGGAAGACAGAGGGCTCTCGTGATTGAGACATCGGAGCCTCCCGCCTGGACACCTGCTCCGCTCTGTCTCCCCCCCGATCGCCCCATCCAGGAGGCAGGCGGGGGTCCGGTATCGACTCCCTGTCCCTGACACAGGATGATCACAGCACAACGCCATCAGCTCCCATAAAACACTTCGCAGGATCTTGATGAACTTCTAGTGTCGGGATCCTTATGGAATCTTGGATCTATCCTGCATTTTGCCCTGGAATTTCACAGGGAAAGTTTAGGACAAATCTTTCAACAATTCTTGAATCAGTCCTGCAAAATAAGACAAGAGACCAGTAGGAGAACAGTGGAATCCTGTTTGTGAATGTTTTGCAGGACATGCACTGTGAGCATGAGAAGTGCTGAGGGGCAAATCCCCAGTGCTGAACTGCTGCAGAGTTGGACACACGTGAGGTCTCCTGAAGGCCTGTCTCAGTGTGTCAGCCCTGCTCCCTGAGAGCTGGCGGAGGTCCTGGCCGAGACGCGGAGCAGAAATGATACTTGTGTTGGATGAGGGCCTGTCTGTGGAGGCGTAGGGGTGGAGAGGGATGGGGGTCTTCACTGCTCTCTCTCTCTCTCCTTCACCTCCTCCCCACGTCCTGCTCACAGGGCCGATGAGCCACCTGTATTAACTGCAGGGGCATGGCGGGGGTAACCGTGTGCGCCACAGACATCTCCCCAAATTAGAGTGCCACTATACTGGAGCTGGTGTTCTTTTTAAGATCACTTTATTGGCCCTTTCTTGTATTAGGAATTTGTCTTTTTGCAGACCCCAACCTGCTCTCCATGAGACACAGACAGGGAGAGACGTTGGGGGTCAGAGCGCAGGGTCAGTCATTTATACAGCGCCCCTGGAGCAGTAGGGTGAAGGGCCTTGCTCAGGGGCCCAGCGGAGTAGGCCCCCAATCTGTGCTAGGGCTCGTGGTGAGGATAGCGATGGTAGCCCTCCTGGGACAAGGCTGTTTGTTTTACTACTGCTTAACAGATTCCTAGTGACAGGAAGTCCTTAAAACAGCAGCAGTTGCTATTCATGTAGCCTGGGGAAGAGTAAACAGTCCTTGCCACCCCCTCCCCCTCGCTCTGCCCCCAGAGACCCTGCTGTTGAGGAATTTCCCCATTCACAAGACGGCGGCCATCTTGGGAGCTTTCTTGGCCGTTCCTGTCTCCACGGCAACGCTGTTTACCAGGAGCCCCTGGGCCCAGCAGTGCCAGTTGCTGTGGTAGTGAGTGAGAAGCGCAAACAGGAGCAGGCCCTTACACATACCCTTGAAGTAGCCCTCGGAGATCAGGTTTTATATAGAAAAGCATAGAAATGACCTATGTTCCTGAAGAGGGTTTTTGAAAAATATAAAATGAAAATAAAATAAATTCCCTGGTGGAAATCTCTGTAGAAAAGGCCCTTCTGGTATCTACTGGTGACCAGTACCTTCAAGGTCAGAATGTTTCAAAACCCACCAGAGACCAGCTTATTACAGTTTATTAGATTAGTCTTCTTGCACTTTCTCATACCCCTGATGCCCCAGCTAGCCTTCAGAGCTGTGCCGTACACTGCCCTGCAAACGTGCTGGGATGCCAAAGTCAAAACTGCGTTGTCTTAAACTTGTGCACTTTTATTATTGCATGTTAGCATTGATGTCCCACAGTCCCACAGTGCCAGGGTTCGATTCCTGGAGTGCTATCTGAGTGGAGGGCGCGAGTTCTCCCCCTGTTCAAGTGGGGTTCCTGCAGGCGCCCTGCATTCCTCCCGCACTCCAAAGACACACTAGTAGCTTGTGTGAGTGTGTGTTTGTGTGTGTTTCCTGTGATGGGCTGGTGTCCTGTCCAGGGTGTGTGTGTGTGTGTGTGTGTGTGTGTGTGTGTGTGTGTGTCCTGTGATGGACTGGTGTCCTGTCCAGAGTGTGTGTGTGTGTGTCTGACTTGAAGTGGCAAGAAACTGGATGGGTTGAGCTTCAGTGTAAAACACATTTTATTTTGGATAATTTCATGCACACATTTGGTCATATTAGATCAAACCCAGTGTTCCCTCTGGTGATTTCACATGTCCATGAGTACTGAGAGACGTTTCAGAGTCAGTGTTTGGTGTCATATCCTTTTGAGGCAATGACTGCATGAAATCTGTGCCCCATTTCCCTCTCTGAGCTCCTGGAGTAATCACTTGAGCTGCTTTGATGTGGCCTTTGAGCTCTTGCTGGTTCTTGGCAGGCGTGTTGCGATTTTCTTTCTCCTGATGAGCTCCTGGGTTGCTCTGGCCTGTTTGGGGTGACTTGATGTTTCTGTGAACTTCAGAACTCATTCTGCTGCTGCCCTTGTTACTGACATCATCAGTAAAGACGCATGAGCCAGTTCCAGGCATTGCCCCAGAAAACATCCAGAGTTCAAGAGGTTCGTGAGACTACCCTCAGAGGCACAACACACTGAGTGTGGGGGAAAAAGACTGAATTAATAAAGATAAATATCACCCAGGATAATACTGAAAAGGACCAAATGACAATCAATCAATTGGGCATCTTCTCAAGAGACAAGAACAGGTCAGACAGCAGACAGAGATACCGCCACGGTCTGGAGCAGTACTCAGTAAAGACATCATGAGACTGGGGAGCTCAGAGCAACGAGACTGAACCAGTACAAGAGACAGGGCCACGGGCGAGACAAGCCTGGCCCACTGGGTTTATAGTGCTGGTTCTACCACCTCAACACACACGACTCACACCACACTACGCACACAGACATCACCCCCCCAGTGCCTGCTCACCACGAAGGGACACTTCTCCATTGTGAGCAGAGCCAGTTAAATAAGAAACACTGGATGGCAATGGAGGCTCTGAAGATGGACACGCCAGCTCCCTTATCTTACAGCTGAACACGTTTCCACCAATTACAACGCCGGCCTGGAGAAAGCCCTCTCCAGCAGGGAAGGCTGGACCTGACTCTCGCCAGCACGTCTCAGGGGGACAGCGTGAATCCCACACTGAACACCGAACGGGCAGCTTTTGTTAGGTGAGAGAGAGATTGTCCCTTGTTTAATGCAATTAGGTGTCCAGTATTGATAACAATGAAGATACCACTATCAAGAATGTGTACACTTTAGGCAAACACTTTCAGTTGAAGCGAATTTTCACCGGATTGAGTAAAATCGCATTGCGGACACTGTATAATGTTACAAAAAGACACTGATGCTCTTGAAGCCTTTTGAAGCCGAGCAGCAAGTTTAATGTTCACTCTTAAAGAGACGCCGCAGACAGAAAGGAGACAGGAACTCAGTCCCTTTAGTCTGGAAATTGGGCAGAAGTGAAACACAAGCCCCTGGGGCCAGACTGAAGACTGGAGACACGTCTTACACAAAGAGAGGTGGGAGAGGGAGATAAGTGGCACGAGTCACATCACTGAACCTGACTCCAAGGGACTCTTTGAGAAACGGAGATCAGATCCCTGATGGGATCACTGAGCTGCTGTCAGTTCAGGATGAAGACATCGGTCAGGGACTCATGTCCACACTGTCCACACTCACTGTACCCTCCGGGCACCAGGGCATCCAGCACAGAGCACTATTTCCCAGCTGCCTCAGCCAGGAGACCGGCAGCAGCCTGAGGCTCAGTCTTAGAGAGCTCATCTGTGGAGGAGAGCATCAGCCTGGCAGTGGATTTCAAGAACAGAAACACCAACAACAGTCTGTCTTCGGTGGGAGGGCTTGAAGGAGCAATGAGTCTTGGTAGATTTCACTACCTGCTGTGGCCTGAATGACGGGACCAGAAGGCCAGAAGCGATGGTCCTGTAACAATGCTCGTGTTTTGATATGCTTTCTTGTTGGCTTCATTGGAACAACAAGTGTGAATTTGGTTGGCTTCTTGTAGTTTTTAGTATTAATATTATATCTTGGGTGTCACAGCGATTGGCACTGCTGCCTCGCAGTGCTGGGGCCCTGGGTTCAATTCCTGGGGCTGCTGTCTGTGTGGAGTTTGCATGTTCATGCAGGTCTCCTCAGGCACTCTCGTTTC